TAGTAGTTCCCAATGGTTCTAAAGGATAGTTGATTATTTTAGTTAGAGTCCCTCTGAGCTCTGAGATGCTTTTGGTGTGGTTGTTTTAATTTTTAGTAGTTCCCAATGGTTCTAAAGGATAGTTGATTATTTTAGTTAGATAAAATGGGCTGCTAAAATAAAATAGGGCACTAAAAGAAGGAAATTTTGTTACACAGGAAAATGTTTTGTCCATTTGCCTTGTTTTATTTTATTTGATACAGTATTTATTTGGGCCTCTAGAACTCAACTCTGATTATTTTTTGTAATAATTATTTTAAAGGAGTTTAAAAGCACCAGCTTTTGGGGGGAATTTTGGGAGTAAAAGGAGTCTTTTTGGTTACAGACAAAAATAAAACCTTATAGTAAAACTTACTAAATACATATGTTTGTAATCATGTGTTTTATGGTACCATTTTGCGGGGAAAAAAATGTTTCTAGCTTTGTTATTTAGTCTCCTGACTTGTTGGGTATAACCATAAATCGGTTTGTAATATCCTGAGTAGGGCTTTTTAGAGTTGCTGTGTTTCCAGGAGTAAATATTTCTCTTTATTCCATCTCCGTGTGTTTATGCACGTCTTTAAAATAGTACTGTACTGTCACCTGCTTAAAGTATCTCATTAGAATCCTGCCTCACAATAGCACTTAAATTCTTTTGCTTAGATTTGAGTCACAAGATTACACTTAGCTGTAAGGGAGGCAAGAAAATTGTTTTTAGCTGGGTATGCTGTTGTCTTGAATAAAATTGGGAGTTTCTTAAATGGAACAATGGGAACATTGATTCTATTTAGGAGCATAACTATATTGATTCTGTGTAGCTAATATACTCTGTATAGGCAAGTACACTAAATAACTCTGTGAGTAAACATCACGAAGGAGTTCAGTGAATGTTCTTGCCACTGAAAGACACTCAATTTGTTGAAAGGGGAATCCTCAGTCAATGCCTTGGCTTATTATTAGAATTTGGCCATATTTTCTATGTGTTTGGCACAATGTTTGCAACAAAAATTTCTAATTTTATAACTAGATGGGATGAAAACCAAATAAAATGGATGTTTTCTGGAGTGTATGCTGCATTTTTTTAATGTTTAAAATTTTTAATTTCAGTTTTTATGGGTATATAGCAGCTGTATGTATTTATGGGGTACATGAGATGTTTTGATACAGGCATGCCATGTGTAACAATCACATCGTGGAAAATGAGGTATCCATTCCCTCAATTATTTATCCTTTGTATTACAAATAATCCAATCCTACTCTTTTAGTTATTTAAAAATGTACAATTATTATTGACCATAGTCACCATGTGATACTATCAAATACTGGATCTTATTAATTATTTCTGTTTCTTTTGTACCCATTAACCATCTCCACCTTCTCTCAGCCTTTGCTTTATTTTGGCAGTATAGATATGGCCTTTACCTTCTATTTCTAAAGTGTCTTCCAGAATTAAGAATTGTTCCATATCAAGCTCTTTTTCACGCCTTTAGCTGACAGACTCTCTACTAGTAGTTCAATAAATGTTAATACTAGATGTTAAAGTGGCATTGTTTTTATAATATGCATTTGAAACTCTGTTGGTTTTCAAACTTCTTGTAACAATAAATACTAAGTGATGATATTGTCTCTAAAGGCATTTAAGAAGCATTTTAAAAATAAGGCTGGGCACAGTGGCTCATGCCTATAATCATAACACTTTGGGATTGCTTGAGCCCAGGAGTTCGAGACCAACCTAGAGCAACATGGCAAAACCCTGCCTGTACAAAAAAATATAAAATAAAATACAAAAATTAGCCAGGCAAGGTTGTGTTTGCCTGTAGTCCCAGCTACTCAGGAGGCTGAGGTTGGGGATTACCTGAGCCTGGGATCACACCACTGCATTCTAGCCTAGGTGACAGAGTAAGGCCCTGTCCCCCCACTCTTGAAAAAAAGTATTTTTAGTTTCTAAGTTTGTAGGTGTAGATTTCGGTGGTTATGTAACACTCTTAAGCAGAATCTGGCGATTCTTATAAATAAGTATGAGGAAACTGTTTGTCATCTGGCATCATCCCATCAGTTAGTTACAAAAATGCCTCAGTAACTTAGTCAAGAACTTTTGTCTATATTCTTGTAAGCAGACATGTTCTAAGAACTTGAAATAGTAGTTTATCTTTCAGCTGAACAAAATTATTTTCATAAAAATGTACTAATTTGTCCTATGTGAAAAGGAACTAAGAGATTAAAATCTAGAATTTACTTTATTAAAGTTAGAATCCTAAAGTCTGAAAGTCTCCGTATTTTTATATTTAAAGGAGGAATGACTGAGGAATTCTAGTTTCCAGTCTTAATGTAAGTGGTTTGAAATGCTTTACTCTTAAAAGGAAGTTACAGGGCTGGGCACAGTGGCTCACACCTGTAATCCCAGCACTTTGGGAAACCAAGGCTGGCAGATTACATAAGGTCAGGAGTTCCTGACTAGCCTGGCCAACATGGGGAAATGCCATCCCTACTAAAAAAAATTAATTAATTAATTAAAAAAAATAAATCTGGGTCTGGTGGTAGGCACCTGTAATCCTAGCAGCTTGGGAGGCTGAGACAGAGAGAATCGCTTGAACCTGGGAGGCAGAGGTTACAGTGAGCCAAGATCACACCATTGCACTCCACCCTGGGCGAAAGAGCAAGACTCATCTCAAGGGGAAAAATAAATTCGGCTGGGCACAGTGGCTCACGCCTGTAATCCCAGCACTTTGGGAGGCCGAGAGGGCTGGATCTCCTGAGGTCAGGAGTTCGAAACAGCCTGGCCAACATGATGAAGTGCCATCTCTACTAAAAATACAAAAAAAAAATTAGCTGGGTATGGTGGTGCACGCCTGTAATCCCATCTATTGGGGAGGCTGAGGCAGTGAGCTGAGATCACACCATGGCACTCTAGCCTGGGCAACAGAGCAAGACTCTGTCTGAAAAATCAATAGGCCAGACGCCGTGGCTTACGCTTGTAATCCCAACACTTTGGGATGCCGAGGTGGGCAGATCACTTGAAGTCAGGAGTTTAAGACCAGGCTGGCCAACACAGCAAAACCCCGTCTCTACTAAAACTACAAAAATTAGCTGGGCATGATGGTGGATGCCTGTATCCCAGCTACTCAGGAGGCTGAGGCAGGAGAATCGCTTGAACCTGGGAAGCAGAGGTTACAGTGAGCTGAGATCGCACCATTGCATTCCAACCTGGACAACAAGAGCAAAACTCTGTCTCAAAAAAATAAATATACAGAAAAAATTAGCTTGGCATGGTGACAGCACCTATAATCCCAGCTACTAGGGAGACTAAGGCAGGAGAATTGCTTGAGCCTGGGAGGCAGAGGTTGCAGTGAGCTGAGATCGTGCCACTACACTCTAGCCTGGACAACAGAGCAGGACTCAGTCTGAAAAAAAAAAAAAAAAAGTTACAGAAAGCTGATTATTGGCTGTGCACAGTGGCGCATACCTGTAATCCCAGCACTTTGGGAGGCACAGGTGAGTGGATTGCTTGAGACCAGGAGTTAAAGACCAGGCTGGACAACAGTGAGACCTTCATCTCTACCAAAAAAAAAAAAAAAAAAAGCCAGGCATGGTGGTACACACCTGTGGTCCCAGCTGCTCAAGAGGTTGAGGCAGGAAGATTGCTTGAGCCCTGGAGGTTGAGGCTACAGTTAACCCTGATTGTATCACTGCAGTCCAGCCTAGGCAATAGTGCAAGACTCTGTCTCCAAAAAAGTAAAAAATTATTTCTCAATGACAAAAATGTGTTTCTATTATGTAACTTCTTTTTAAATTTAATTTTACTTGGTTGGCTGGAATTACAAATACAATCAGGATTTGAGACAGAAAGTAATGAGGGACTAAAATATGAGAGTTGTCATAGGAATGGAAGGAATGGAGAAGGGTAAGTCACAAAGCAGAGATTGAATAAGTAGGATTTAGCATCTTATGGGATATGAGTGTTTAGGGCAAAAAAGTCATCAAAAGTTGTATAATGAAGGTTTTAATGTCAAGAAAGAAACAAGACAGGAAGGTTTGGAAGAGATTAACTTAGTTTTAGACATGTTGCCTTTGAGACAATGAGAAAACCATGTATCAAGTCATTGATTTTCTAAAGAGCATGCTAAGATCCCCTTTAGACCTTTTTTCCTTTTTAAATCTTCCGATAAATACCTGTGGCCACTCCCTTTCTAACTGCCAACCCTACTTCATCCAATATTATGACTTGTACTTTAAGGGGATGTATAAGAATCTTGAAAAAAGAAGAAAGGATTCAAACTAGAGTTTGCTAACTCCAGCCTTTCCCACTGCACCAAGAAAGTACCATGTCACATCATTATATATGATACGCATGTGGCTTTTTTTTTAGAGGTTTTATTTTTTAAAATAGGGTCTTGCTTTGCTGCTCAGCTGGACTCAAACTCCTGGGCTCAAGCAATCCTCCTGCCTCAGCCTCCTGAGTAGCTGGGACTATAGGCATGGGCCACCACACCCAGCTTATATGGTATTTCTATCCAAGAAATCTAGTATTCTTACAAATAACCTTATTCCTAAACATCCCAATGTGCTTTGGATGTTTACAGTTTTGGTTATAAAATTCAATTGTGGCACAATTCAATATTGACCCCAAGGACAAGGAATATGTACCAAATGATAAGTTTCTCCATATGCACCGGGTAAATATTATGTATAATATTAACCAATAAATTTTTGCAGGTATTAAAAGTTTGATACACTCAGCATGGACAAGCCATACCAGTAGAAAAAACTCACATTCTAAGCTTTAATTCAAAAGGTAATTAGACTACCTTACTTAGTTATCCGTGTGTCATTAAGACCTGAATCATACTGAAAATTAGTGGTTTGTAGTTTCTGAGAATGTATGATCATTACATTGAAATACAATCTGTCTCATGTACACATTTTTCTATCGTGTGAAGTCAGCGATTATGAAATTTTAACGATTCTTTCTTATTTCCTTTTAGATTTTATGTTTACAATAAAAAGAAACGTCTTGTCAACACACCCTATGTGGATAACTCCTATAAATGGGCTGGTGGTGGATTTCTGTCTACAGTGGGTGACCTTCTGAAATTTGGGAATGCAATGCTGTATGGTTACCAAGTCGGGCTGTTTAAGAACTCCAATGAAAATCTTTTACCTGGATACCTCAAGCCAGAAACAATGGTTATGATGTGGACACCAGTCCCCAACACAGAGATGTCCTGGGATAAAGAGGGTAAATACGCAATGGCATGGGGTGTGGTGGAAAAGAAACAAACGTATGGTTCTTGTAGAAAGCAACGGCATTATGCTTCACATACTGGAGGGGCAGTGGGTGCCAGTAGTGTCCTGCTGGTCCTTCCTGAAGAACTGGATACAGAGACTCTAAATAACAAGGTTCCCCCGAGAGGAATCATTGTTTCTATCATATGTAACATGCAATCTGTTGGCCTCAATAGCACTGCTTTGAAGATTGCCCTTGAATTTGATAAAGACAGATTGGACTGATATCTTAACACCACAGGTGCAAAATGAGGGTTTTTTTTAAACATCAGTGTTCCAAAACATATGAAATTTTTAAGAATAAATTTGAAATAGAGTATAATTGAAAGCAGACAATTATGCACCTCTAATTGCTTAATTTTGTAATGGTCTTTTATTGTAGAATTAGTTCTTTATACTCAGGGAAGTAATTCTATTGTTTTTACTTTTTGAAAAAAGTGTTAACTCTTGAATAAAATATTCTGATAAAATATGTACTCTCTGTGTGTGTGATACAGAGAAAATCTCATTCAACAGGAGCCTCCAGATACCCAGGTTTTTTTTTCTTTTTTTGAGTTGGAGTCTCACTGTGTCGCCCAGCCTGGAGTGCAGCAGCATGACCTGGGCTCACTGCAACCTCTGCCTCCTGAGTTCAAGCGATTCTCCTGCCTCAGCCTCCTAAGTAGCTGGGATTACAGGCACCCGCCACCCTGCCTGGCTAATTTTTCTATTTTTAGTAGAGACAGTGTTTCACCATGTTGGCCAGGCTGATCTTGAACTTGACCTCAGGTGATCCACCCACCTCAGCCTCCCAAAGTTCTGGGATTACAGGCGTGAACCACCGTGCCCAGCCCAAATATCCTTTTAATGTGAGAACAGAACCAAAAGCATGAGAAATGGTTTATTATCTACTACAGCTTAAAATAAACTTTCGGAGAAGGAATTGGGAAATCAGGAGCAATATAGTCTTGTGGGTCTGGCGCAGTCTCTAATGAGGTTGCAGACAGGGTGTTAGAGTCATCTAAAGAATGCTCCAGGCCGGGCACGGTGGCTCACACCTATAATCCCAGCACTTTGGGAAGCCGAGGCGGGTGGATCACGAGGTCAAGAGATCGAGACCATCCTGGTCAACATGGTGAAACCCCGTCTCTACTAAAAATACAAAAAATTAGCTGGGCATGGTGGCGCGTGCCTATAATCCCAGCTACTCAGGAGGCTGAGGCAGGAGAATTGCCTGAACCCAGGAGACAGAGGCTGCGGTGAGCCGAGATCGCGCCATTGCACTCCAGCCTGGGTAACAAGAGCGAAACTCCGTCTCAAAAAAAAAAAAAATGCTCCAGGGCTGTAAGAAATGCTTCCATGTGGCTTACTTGCATGACTGCTGGCAAGAGTCAGTCCTCTGGCTGGTGGTAGCAAGGGGGCTCAGTTTGTCACCACAAGGACCTCTCCGTAGGGCTGCTGGGGTATCTTAATGTCATGGGAGTTGGCTTCCCGCAGAGTAAGTGATGAGACATAGAGAGTACCAGGCAGAAGTCACTCTTTTATAAATTAGCCTCAAGTCACATATCATCACATTTGCCATAGTCCATGGGTTACATGGGACCGAATAAATGTTGGAGAGTTTGTATAGATTGTGAATATTAGGAGGTAGGAATCACTGGGAGTCAACTTGGAAGCTAGATACCAGAGTCTGACCTCTGGTCCCCAATGATTTATGTCCTTCCCAGTGCAAAATACTCTTATCTCCTTTTAAATCCTCCAGAAGTTTCATCAGCTCAAAGCCCAGTATCTTACCATCTAAATTGGGTCAGGTCCAAGTGTGAATGACAGCTCCTCGGGAGGAGTTCCTTAGGTACAGCAATTCAAGTACAGTTTCTCCTGACCTTATGACGTGTGAACTTTATTTGTTCCCCATATGTGTAACATACAATAGCACAGTAGATGCAGGATAAGTGCTAGATACTCTCTTCAAAAAGTAGGGAAATGGAAGACATACAGGAGACTGGCAATCATGAGATTCAGTCAGACAGAGGTTGACAACTCTTGATTAGTACTCAAGACTTCAGAATAATTCTTAGCTCTTGGCCATGTTCTCTGGGCTCTTAGTTCTGCCTTCCGATTATACTTATTTATTTTTTTAAGAGACAGGTATTCACCATGTTACCCAGGTGGGTCTCCAACTATTGGGCTCAAGTGCTCCACCCACCTCAGCCTCTCAACATGCTGGGATTATAGGCATGAGCCACTCTTTTTCTTTCTCTCTTTCTTTCTTTCTTTTTCTTTCTTTCTTTCTGTTTCTTTTCTTCTTTCTTTCTTTCTCTCTTTTGTTCTTTTTCTCTTTCTTTCTCTCTCTCTCTTTCTTTCCTTTCCTTTCCTTTTCTTTTTCTCTTTCTTTTTTTTTTTTGAGACAGAGTCTCACTCTGTCTCCCAATCTGGAGTGCAGTGGTGCAGTCTCAACCCACTGCAGCCTTGGCCTCCTGGGTTCAAGCGATTCTTCCACCTCAGCCTCCCAAGTAGCTGTGATTACAGGTGCACGCCACCATGCCTGGCTAATTTTTGTATTTTTAGTAGAGATGGGATTTCACCATGTTGGCCAGGTTGGTCTCGAACTCCTGACCTCAGGTGATCCACCCACTTCAGCCTCCCAAAGTGCTGGGATTACAGGTATTAGCCACTATGCCTGGCTGCTTTTTGGCATGTCTTTCTAGCTGAGTTGTTTTCTCAGTCTGCTTTCTGCTTGTAGAAGTTTGGAAGCCCAAAGGCATTTTTGTATTCTCTCTGTCCTTTCAATCTAAGTTAAGAGTGGTTCTGCTAATAGAATATATTATTTATTTAATTTTTGAATTATTTCTTAGCAACCCTATTAACTGACAATATAATATTTTAAAATGTTAAGGGTATCCTGTGAATCTTATTGGGGTTTATGCCAATAGACAAATGCCACACCAAAATCCCTTCAGAATAACCCCTCTGTAAATTGGGCCTTGTCTGCTGAGACAATGGGAAGAACTACTTACAGTAATAATCTAATGAACTCTATTGTTTTAATAGTTCTCTAAAGTGCCATGTTGGTTCATTTTGAAGTCTTGAGAAAGGATTGTATAGTCATGCCCTCAATTTCATCTTTAGAGTATGTTCTCCTGGAAGTGCCCTCAATTATATCTTTGTCTTGAAGCCATTTCTTAATTTTGGCATCACTTGCCATCTGAAAAGTCTGGGAATTTTTGAAACCCTCAATTATTAATTCTGTATTAATAGTTCCTCCTTTAGCTTATCTTTCTCTTGCATGTTAGTATAAGTGACAAGAATTAAGGAAGCACGTTCAACACTGTGTATGGCTCTCTGCTCCCTCTCTTGCCCTGTGACATTCGAGCACCCCCTTCTCTTTCCGCCAAGGTTGTAAGCTTCCTGAGGCCCTCATCAGAAGCAGATGCCAGCACCATGCTTCCCGTACAGCCTGCAGAACTGTAAGCCAAATAAACCTCTTTTTATAAATTACCCAGCCTTAGAACAAAAAAAAAAAAAAAAAAAAAACAAAAAAAAACCCTGTGTATGGACATCCCATCAGCTAATCACCCAGTTCATTAGACACATTTTCTGTTTTCTGAGTTATTGCTGGTAACAATGTTGCTAAATTTTCTGCCAGTACAAAACAAGAATCCCCTCCTCTAATTGACAATAAGATTTCCCTTACTTTCCTTAAGATTATACCTGCAGCCTCCTCAAAGGCCATGCTTCTCAACAATTTCTTTAAGGATCTCCAGGTTTTCATTAGCACCCTCCTCAAAGTCCTTCCAACTTCCATCTGCTGCTCTGTCCCAAATACAGACACACACATATATAATTCAGATATAATTCACAGTCCATATGCCATAAAATTCTTTAACATGTACAATTCAGTGGTTTTTAGTATATTCACGAGATTATGCACCCATTACCACTATCCAATTCATTTTCACTCCAAGAAGAAACCTCATACTCATTAGCATTTGCTCTCCATTCCTCTGTTCCTCCAGCCCCTGGTAATCAGCAAACTGCTTTCTATCTCTTTGGATTTGCCTGTTATGAATGTTTCATATAAATGGAATCATACCATATCTGGCCTTCTGTGTCTGTAGTATAAAAGTCTGAGCTTTTTCCTGTAGTATAATGTGTGTTAGGTATCTACTACTGCATTAACAAATTACCCCAAAGCTTATTGTCTCACAGTTTCTGTGTTTCAGAAATTTGGGGGCAGCTCTGCTGGGTGTTTCTAGCTCAAGGTCTCTCATGAGTTTGCAGACAAGATGTAAGCAGGGGCTTCAGGCATCTGAGGGAAGGATCAACTGGGGCTGGAGAATCTGATTCCAAAATGATTCACCCATGTGGCTACAGGCAAGAGGTCTTTGTGACTTACTGGCTTTGGCCAAGAGGTTTCAGTTTCTAACCATGTGGCCCTCTCCATAGGTCTGCTTGTCTGTGCTATGGCTTCCCTTTAGAGCAGGGGATTGAAGATCAGACAAACACCTCAATGTCTCTTGTAATTCAGCCTTGGAAGTTATATGCCATCATTTATGCCAGATTGTGTTGGTTACAGAAACCAACCCTGATTTGATGTGGGAGAGGCCTGCGCAAAGGAGTGGATACCAGAAGGTGGGGATCACTGGGAGCCATTTTGGAGGCTGCAATGTTAACATATTGGGGAATTCTGTTCCAACAGCCATAGATCCTGTGTACTAGAGATTGCCAGTGTGCCACTGAAATCAAAGTAGAAGGGCTTTTCTATAATTCTCAGCCCTAAATGTGTTTCTTCACTTAATACTGTATACAAGTAAATAGAAGGATATCTCAGAGTTGGTTAAAGTAGAAAGAAAGCACCTCTCTAAAACAGATCCATTTCATCTCCTTATGTCTTTCTGACTACTGATCTCTAGGTCTTATATTCATGTTTGTCAAACTTTTCAATCCGTGCCCTTAGATAAACATAAAAATGTCATGTCTTTCTTTAATGTTATTTTAACATTAAATATTTAATGTTTCTTTCATGTTAATATGTTATTTAGAATTTATTTATTTTTTAGAAATAGGATCTTGCTCTGGCATCCAGGCTGGATGTGCAGTGATGATCATAACTCACTATAACCTCAAACCCCTGGGCTCAAGTGAGCCTTACCATCTCAGCCTTCCAAAGTGCTGGGATTATAGGCATGAGCCACTATGGCTGGCCCCTCATTTGGAATTTTCTTTTATTTTTATTTATTTATGTATTTAGAGATAGGGTCTTACTCTGTCACCCAGGCTGGAGTGCAGTGGTGTAATCATGGCTCACTGCAGCCTTGATCTTCCAGGCTCAGGTGATCTTCCCACCTCAGCCTCTAGAGTAGCTAAAGCTACAGGTGCATGCCACTAAACCTGGGTAATTTTTTGCATTTGTTGTAGCAAAGGGGTTTCACCATGTTGCCCAGGCTGGTCTCAAACTCCTGGACTCAAGCAATCCTCCCGCCTCAGCCTCTAAAAGGGGCATGAGCCACTGCACCCAGCCACCAATTATTTGATAGCCACAATTTCCTCTCATTCCATTGTGCATACAACTTTGCAATGTGCTTTTGCTGCTTTTTCCATCCAAAGTTGGGGGTCTTTATCCACTCCCTCGAATCTAGTCTCACTTTATGTTTATTTGTTTTGAGATGGTGTTTTGCTCTTGTTCCCCAGGCTGGAGTGCAATGGCACAATCTCAGCTTACTGCAACCTGTGCCTCCCAGGTTCAAGTGATTCTCCTGCCTCAGCCTCCTGAGTAGCTGGGATTATAAGCATGTGCCACCATGCCTGGCTAATTTCATATTTTTAGAAGAATGGGGTTTTTCCATGTTGGTCAGGCTGGTCTTGAACTCCCAACCTCAGGTGATCTGCCTGTCTCAGCCTCCCAAAGTGCTGGGATTATAGGCATGAGCCACTGCACCTGGCTGCTTTTTGACCTATTAAATGTGGTGGAAATAATGTGCAAGTCCCACTGCATAGGCTTTAAGACGCCTTCAAGCTTTTGTCTGTCACCTTCTAAGAACACTACCCCAAGACTGCCATATAAAGAAGCCAGACTAGCTTACTGGAGGAGGGAGGCCACATGGAGAGGAACAAAGATGCCCCAGCTAGCAGCTAGCACCAGCTGCCAGACCTGTGACTTGAGCCTCCAGGTAAAGGCGGCTGCATGAGTGAACATGGGTGAAACCAACAGAGTAAGCAGCCAATACATATAATCATGAGAAATAGTAATGAGTCAATATTTTAAGCTATTAGATTTGGGGTTGACTTGTTTTGCAACAAAAGTTAACATATCTATGCTCCAGTGTGGTGGTAAGGTGGGTAAGTAACTGTAGGGGAAAAAACAACATTAAAGTACTTGATGTTATATAGACATGACTGCTTTTCATTTAAAAAACACACAAACTATGAACAGAACACTTACTGTGGGAAAGGCATTTTGCTTAAGCACTTTGTATATGCTATCTCATTATATCTTCAACATAACTCTATTTAAAGTAGAAATATTATTTTTCCCAAGGTCATAAACCATCAGGTAGATCCTCTGAGGTCAGGAGTTCAAGATTAGGCTGGGCAACATGGTGAAACCCCGTCTCTACAAAAAATACAATAAATTAGCCAGGTGTGGTGGCAGGTGCCTGTAGTCCCAGCTACTCAGGAGGCTGAGGCCAGAGGGTCGCTTAAGCCAGGGAGGCAGAGGTTGCAGTGAGCTGAGATCATGCCACTGTCCTCCAGCCTAGGTAACAGAGCGAGACACCATGTCAAAAAAAAAAAAGTGAAAACACTCTAAATGTCTATCAACTGATGGATAAACATTGTAGATTATTACACAGAATATTACTGTCAAAAAAAGGAATGAAATTCTGATTGATTGATATATGCAACATGGATAGCCCTTGAAAACATTATGCTAAGTAAACATACAGAAGCTACATATTGTATGATTCCATTTATATGAAATAGTATTCCATATAAATATTGAAGAAATACTGAGAAGCAGCAAATCCACGGAGACAAAAGTAGCTTAGTGGCTGCCAATGGCTGAGAGGAGGGAAGAAACAGAGAGTCAGAGCTGATAGGTATGAAGTTTCTTTCTAAGGTGATGAAAATGGTCTGGGATTAGACAGTGGTGATGGTTGTACAACCTTGTAAATATACTAAAAACTATTGAATCTTACATCACAGAAGGTTGGATTTTATAGTTTCTGAATCATCTCTCCAGAAAAATAAAATAAAAAGGAATTAGAACTTTATCAGATGACTTACAGGAACAACCAGACACAAAACCATTTGTCATCTCATCAGGCCAGAAGCCAAGAATTTCATTTTATTTTTAGCTATATGTAACTGGTTTTTTTCCATTAATGGAAAGCTTCCCTTAAAAATATATTTATATTAAATTTATGGAAAGTTTTCTTTAAAAATGTATTTACATTAAAATATGAAGTCAATATAGATAATAGTATTTACCACATTCAGTATAATAATGTATATGGCTAATCCTGAAGTTTGGGAAAGTTCTGGTGTCCTATTCAGCACTTTTAAAACCCAGTAACATCATCTAGATTAATAATAAAGTAAAACTGAATACACCATTCATTTCCCAATATCAAATAAATCCTTAGATGTGTTCTTTTTTGAGACACAGCTTCACTCTGTCAGCCAGGCTAGAGTGCAGTGGTGCAATTATGGCTCACTGCAACCTCTGCTCCTGGTTTCAAGTGATTCTTGTGTCTCAGCCTCCCAAGTAGCTGAGGCTACAGGTGGGTACCAGCACACCCAGCTAATTTTTGTATTTTTAGTAGAGATGGGGTTTCACTATGTTGGACAGGCAGGTCTCGAACTCCTGACCGCCAGTGATCTGCCCACCTCAGCCTCCCAAGCTGCTGGGATTATAGGCATGAACAACCGTGCCCAGCCCTTAGATATGTTCTTTAAAGTATAATCCTTTTGTAAAAAAATACTTCCAAGGGAATTTTGGGGGGTTTGTTAGATTAGTCCTCATCATAGGTTTGATTACTTCTCATCAAAAGCAGTAATTTCCACTGGCTCTCCTTAGAACCAAGTTTCCTAAACTGCACAAGCTGAAGTGCCTTGGAGTACCTCAGGAAAAACATTGACATGGACACATCTTTTGTATAAACTACTAGTTCCAGGTAGTTCAGTTTTACTGTTATAAGGCACTGCATTCCCTTTGATGGCATCCTATCTTTGTGAAGCTGGGTTTGGAGCCACTGCTGTGACAAAAAGCACCATGTAAAAATCACTGTGGAAGAAATAAGGACGGTGGTGTCCAATCAGATTCCAATTTTGAGAAAGTGCACAGAGCCCAACAAGCACACATATTCCACTAGTAACTGTGATGATTTAAGGATGAGATAAAAATTATCACATCAGGCTGGGCACAGTGGCTCACACCTGTAATCCCAGCACTTTGGGAGGCCAGGAGTTCAATACAGTCTGGACAACATAGCCAGAGCCGCATCTCTACAAAAAAATTAGGCGGGTGTGGTGGCACATGCCTAAGTCCCAGCTACTCAGGAGGTGGGGGTAGGAGCCTTGCTTGAGCCCAGGAGTTTGAGGTCACAGTGAACTATGATCCTCCAACCTGGGCAATAGAGCCAAGACGCTGTCTCTACTTTTTAAAAAATCATTACATCACTTTTGCTCTTGTGTATAATTTTTTTCAAATGGCTACTAGAATTTTTAGAACATAAGTTAATAAATGTAACTGTTAGGTATTTCTTTTGGCCAAGGGACAACCTGAAAAAAATTACTGAGATTCTTAGGATGTCAGAAACAAAAAGTCTGAGAATCTCTGGTCATCTACTTCCTCATACATTATATATACCCCAAACTTGACATCATTCTTCAGTTCTTGTGCAACAGTTCTCTGATTTAAGCAGTATGTAAGACGATTAGTGACTCACATTAGAGGCCTACCTGTTGATAGGAACTGCCTGTTTTAAGGACCTGACATAAGGTAACAAATCAAATAGCAGCAGAGTAGAAACTGGACCATCTTCCTCGTCCAATGAGGAGTTGTATAGTGACTGAAAAGGGAAACGTACACTGCCCCTCTCAGCTCCCCAGGATCACTTCATAAACTATGAAAATGACAATGAGGCACCAGAACCACTCAACACACATTTGTAGTCTGGAGTGCTCACCTATGAATTCTCTGAGCCAGAGAATTCAACACCATCTACTATCTCCAACCAGGACTTCTGCAAGTAAATCGTACCACTCCTGATTTCTCCTCTCAAATTTTCTAACCCAAAAAGGAGCTTCCAATTAATAACTGAGACCCCAGCTAGCAGTTACTGTCCTAAATTATACAGCAGTACAGTAAGGCCACATAAATCTAAGGCATTACATTGTGATGGTTACTATGTTAAATATTTTTTTTTTTTTTTGAAGCTACTATTTTTAAGTTCTGCAGTAAACATGAAGGATGTGCAAAATATGTACTTTTTTTTTTTTTGAGACAGAGTCTCTGTTGCTCAGGCTGAAGTGCAATGGTATGATCTTGGCTCACTGCAACCTCCACCTCCTGGGTTCAAGCAATGCTCCTGCCTCAGCCTCCGGAGTAGCTGGGACTACAGCATGTGCCACCACACACAGCTAATTTTTTATTTTTAGTAGAGATGGGGTTTCACCATGTTGGCCAGGCTGGTCTTGAACTCCTGACTTCAGATGATCCACCCACTTCGGCCTCCCAAAGTGCTGAGATTATAGGCGTGAGCTACTGCAACCGGCTGATATGTACTTCTATAAGATGTTTCCACAGGTACAACAGCAGAACTACATTTAGAATTCACAAATAATAGATTTTACATTTGTAATCCTTTAACCCTATTCACAAATAATTTGGAAAAGGAATGAAAATAAAATATTTAGGGTTTCTACTCTTGAAAATGAGACACAAATTAGCTGGGCACGGTGGTGTGTGCCTGTAATCCCAGCTACTCAGAAGGCCAAGGCAAGAGAATCATTTGAACCTGGGAGGCGGAGGTTCAAATCGCGTGAACCAGTGAGCCGAGATTGCACCAATGGACTCCAGCTTGGACAACAGAGCAAGACGCTGTCTCAAAAGGAAGAAAGAAAAGAAAATGAGACACACACTAATCAGAATAAAGTTTGAAATGTTTAAACCAAATTAATATACACCATATATATAAATGTATGGCATACTCACACATATTTTAAAAAGAAAGAAAAAGAGGGGATTTGCCCATAATCAAAACTTTATTGAAAAACTGACACCAAAATAGTAGTTCACTGTTGTATACCTTACAAAACCAAATATAATTACATTATCTTGGTAGATTAATTAGAATTATGGAACTTATGATAAGGCTTTCTGTGAGATAACACAAATTCAGGAAGCTGTTTGGATCATTAGTGTTGCTTTCTTCTGAATGAACACCCTGCAAAAGAATCATGAGAGTATATTAAACAAGAGTATTATACCTTTGCTAAACTTTTAATGACAAAAAGTACTTTTTCAGTAAAATACTGAAGAGTTTTAAGAATATTGGGGATGTGGTGGCTCACACCCGTAATCCCAACACTTTGGAAGGCCAAGGCAGGCAGATCAGCCTGGCCAATATGGTGAAACCCTGTCTCTACTAAAAATCAAAATAAGAAAACAATTATCCAGGTGTGGTGGCGAGTACCTGTAGTCCCAGCTACTCTGGAGGCTGAGGCAGAAGAATCACTTGAACCCAGGAGGCAGAGGTTGCAGTGAGTCAAGATCACACCACTGCACTCCAGCCTGGACGACAGAGCAAGAATCCTTCTCAAAATAATAATAATTATAATATTGGATTAGGCTGGGCGTGGTGGCTCATGCCTGTAATCCCAGCACTTTGGGAGGCCAAGGTGGGTGGATCACCTGAGGTCAAGAGTTTGGGACCAGCCTGGACAACATGGTGAAACCCTGCCTCTACTATAAATACAAAAATTAGCGAGGCATGGTGGCATTCGCCTGTAATCCCAGCTACTTGGGAGGCTGAGGCAGGAGAATTGCTTAACATGGGGGTAGGGAGCAGAGGTTGCAGAGAGCTGAGATTGCACCACTTCACTCTGGCCTGGGCGAAAGAGTGAAACTCCATCTCAAAAACAAAACAAAACAAAAAAGATTAGCTAGGTGTGGTAGTGGGTGCCTGTAATCCCAGCTACTTGGGAGGCTGAGGCGGGAGAATCACTTGAACCCAGGAGGCAGAGGTTGCAGTGAGCTGAGATCACGCTATTACACTCCAGCCTGGGTGACAAGAGCAAAACTCTGTCCCAAAAAAAAGAATATTGGATTAATACTCTATATATACAGATTATTTATCCTCCCATGCCAGAAATTTGCTATAATAAATCTGTTATAGCTGAGTGTACTCTGGTATAAGTGTCACTCCTGTTTCTCAAATGCTATAATAAAGTCTACTTAAGACCATGAGCCTGAATTCAACAGTGAAAAGCGGTCAGAAGAGATACTCTTAATTTTTATGAAGTATTCTGAATAATTTTCTCAAGAAAATAATTTTGATTAGAGTTATTTTCAGATCTATTAGGAAAACTCTAGATCAGATGCACCCTTTAAACCATCTGTCAGCGTATGGGCACTACATTTCAAAATCCAACAAGTATACTTAGCAATACTACTCTTAAAATATCATGTGCTAGCTAGGCACAGTGGCTCACGCCTTAATCTTAGCACTTTGGAAGGCTGAGGTGGGCAGATCACAAGGTCAAGAGATTAAGACCATTCTGGCCAACATAATGAAACCCTGTCTCTACTAAAAATACAAAATTAGCTGGATGCGGTGGCGTATGCCTATAGTCCCAGCTACTTAGGTAGCTGAGACAAGAGAATTGCTTCAACCCAGGAGGCAGAGGTTCCAGTGAGTCAAATCGCACCACTGCACCCCAGCCTGGCAGCAGAGCGAGACTCTGTCTCAAAAAAATTAAAATCAAAATTAAAAAATCATGTGCTGACTTCATATTTAGATCTCACCAGGTCACACCAAATAGATCTCGGATTTGCTGCCAATCCACTTGAATTATTCCAGTGAGAACATGGAACTTACAGCTCCCCAAAATATCACAAGCAAATTTCTAACATCATTATGGAATTGCAAATTTACGAGTATTACTATGGAAACTATATACGTAATTTTTTTTCTTACTGCACTAAAGTGAAAGAGGAATTAAAATTAGGTTTTTATATTAATCATTGCAGTTGCTCATAAAAATAAAACCTCTGGCATTTTAACTTACACATTAGCTATCTGTTGTTTAGCTGGCAATGATTAAAAAAACTATTCTATGTACTAATACCATACGGAACAAAATTTTATGAGAAATTTTAAAATTCTATATGGTTTTAAAAAACCGTATAACATGTAGTTATTCTTTTGTTTCCATTTTGATTTCTTTAATTTATTCCAAGTTAAGCAAACTAAGTGAATGAATATAAAAGAACTAGGTGTTCTAAACTAAGAAAAAGAATAGTCAGTGGAGTTCATTGCAAGAGCAAGAGTATAAACATATCCAGCTGAACAGGGCATTCTTTACTAAAAGCACACAATGAAAGAGAAAAGCTGTTTTGGTAATCATTAAGATTTCTTTAAACTTTTCAGTGAAGATGGAGACATTTATAATCATAAAATCTCATCACTGGGTTGGAAAATGCCAAATGATATACCTTCTGTGAGTCTGGCCTTTCCCCCTGTAGGCTGGCACAATACTGTTGAACAACCTACACAAAGAACCACTGTCTGAGCATGGCTGAAAACCGTGGTGATCTTGTAGCAACCTAAAAAAAAAAAAAAAAAAAAAAAAAAAAAAAAAAAAAAAAAAAAAAAGCAATGTTAAAAGTGAAAAGCAGAACACCACCTATTCAACATTTGTGGTAATATGTAAAAAAAAAATTAAGAACTTTAGCGCTATGAAACAGCAAGCCACATGTGTAACATAAACATAAACTCTTCCAGCAGTGACACAAAATTTTTAAAAAACAGGTAAAATAATATACTTTCCTGAACTTGATATTTCTAAAATATTATCATTTCAACATGTAATCAATGTATTTTTTTTCCCGTGCTACATCGGCAAAATCCAGAGAGTGAAGGGTAAAGAACCCTCCTATTTTGACTATTCACATTTTGATTACCCACCAAGTGCTCAGTAGCCACGTTCGGCTAATAGCCATTGTATGGGCAGCACAGTTTTAGACTGAAGAATCAACAGACTTTTCCTTGTATCATGAAATAGAAACTTATCACCTGAACAGCTTAAAGACTTACTAAGTGAAATAGCATATCTCCTGTGAATGCCTGCTTTCACTTACCCTCAAATGTTTCTACAATGGTTTTAAGTAGTACATTTATTATGAAAATGTCCCTGACATTTCCAATTCTGTAATCCCACTTCTTCTCAACAGAGGGTTCTAAAGCATCTTAACTATACACACCACACTAGGAATTCCTACAGAAATTTTCGTTAGTAAAAGAATTAAGATTTGAAATTTTACCTGGACATTTTACATCCATAAAGTAAGAATTTGGACTTTGCACTAGGCGTTTCTTTTTATGTTTTTTCTTTTCCTCTTCCAAGGACGGATGCAATAAATCTCTAGCCAGCTGAATAAAGAAGCATATCATTAGTAGTTGTTTTAAACCACAATGCCGGCACATTTAACCATACGTGAAATATACATGAAAAAAAAAAAAAAAAAGGCATAACGGTCATCCTCGGCAGAAGCAATACTTCAGATGGTAAACTTATTTTTCGAAACCTGTTAATAACTTTCATCAATACTTTTCAAAATACTTGTGCTCTCCAAGTCTCTATCAAAGGGCTTTCTGGCGATCAGCAAACATATGGTAAGGCAAACTCCGTCCTTCTTTACTCAATTGCGTAATAAACTGTCTTCAGTGCAAACTGTGTGAGGTCGAGGTGTTAAGTAAAGAAACTGACCCCAATGTGGACTCGCTTAGAGTAGAAACTGCTGAAGTAGACCAGAGAACGCCAACTCTCGGGTGATTTTTGCTCCCGGGGCTCAACAGCTGATCTGACAGGAATTCTGGCTGAGGCGTGACCGTACTCAACAGAATTAATATTAAGGCAACAATGAAGGCAGTTTTTAAAAGAAAAACAAGTAGGAAATCGATTCCGAAAGAAGGCAGAGGGGGCGAGAAACACCAGCACCAGGAAAGCAAAAAGATCCAAATATCACAGCCTCAGGGGCACCCACCAAAAACCAAGAGGGCTCATAAGCTACCTAGACAGTTTTTACCTCCAACCCCCGCCCCAGCCACCGCCTGCTGATCGCAGCCCACGCCCCTGCAGGGCCAGCCGCGCCGCACTGACCGGGCAAGTCACTACATGCCCGCCACGCGCGAGACGCTGAGTGACTGGAGCCGTCTCGCCACTCTCGGACACTACAGGCCGGGGAAGCCTCCGGATTCATCCGCCCCCTATGCTCCTAGGTAGAGAAGCCTAAAACAAACCCGGACCCCAACGTAAACAACTCACAGGCATGTTGATCCTCTCGCAAGCCCAGCCCTTCCAGACCTCTCAGCCGACACCGCTAACAAGCTGCACGCGATCTGTGCTCGGCATCAACTTCCGGGATAGAGGCGACAGGGAGGAGCGGCGGGGCGGGCCTGTCCGCTCTAGGCCCTCCTCTCGGTGGTAGAGGCGGATGCTCAAGCCATGTCCGCTGGTCCAGGGTGCAGGGAGGACCTGGGAATGGGGCGCATTCGAGGATGCCAAGTCCCGTGGGTCTAAACGGGGTCGTCGGCGAGGGCCGCGGACTCTGCGATGCCTGAGGCCAGGATCTGGCTGGGGAGCGGCGTCGGGCTTAGGCTGTTGCGAGGGAGCGCCCTCGGCCACCCTGGCCCGCGCAACCCCGGAACCCGGAGGCCGCTCGGCCCCAGCCCCCTGGCCCGGCCGCTCTCGCTCGGCTCTCGAGGTGGGCACACGGGGCGATGCCACTATTCTCTTCTTTTGTGTATTAAAAAATACAGCACTATTAACCATTAGTATGTGCCAGAGAGATGAAAGAGGCCCGAATCCTTTTGGCTTCCCTTTCCAAGGCGCAGAATTCGAAGTTCTCTGCAGGGTGTGGCTGTGCCTTAGGTTTGTTTCGTTCTGAAAAAAAAAAGTGTTTGAAACAGCACCGGTTAGCTGCTGTGCCTCGTTTACTCACAGACCCACCTTCTGGGGATTACAAGTGCTTTGCAGAATGGACAACTCGGGGGCCTGAGAAAGGCGAATGTCACTGATAGCCGAACATGAATCTTCATTATTATTATTATTATTTGAGACAAGGTCTCGCTCGCTCTGTTGCCCAGGCTGGAATGCAGTGGTGCCATCACAGCTCACTCAGCCTCAACCTCCTGGGCTCAAGCGATTCCCTCGCCTCTGCCTCCCGAATAGCTGGGACCACAGGATCACCCCACTATTCTAACTTTTTGTAGAGACAGGGTGCTGCTATATTGCCCAGGCTCAAGCAGTCCTCTCACCTCAGCTTCCCAAGTAGTTGGGACCACAGGCACGTGCCACCACGCTCTATTTTTTTTTTTTTTTTTTTTGAGACGGAGTTTCGCTCTTGTTACCCAGGCTGGAGTGCAATGGCACGATCTTGGCTCACCGCAACCTCCGCCTCCTGGGTTCAGGCAATTCTCCTGCCTCAGCCTCCTGAGTAGCTGGGATTACAGGCACGCGCCACCATGCCCAGCTAATTTTTTGTATTTTTAGTAGAGACGGGGTTTCACCATGTTGACCAGGATGGTCTCGATCTCTTGACCTCGTGATCCACCCGCCTCGGCCTCCCAAAGTGCTGGGATTACAGGCTTGAGCCACCGCGCCCGGCTACCACGCTCTATTTTTGAGGAGGAAACTCTAAGCTTGAGAGACGAGTGTCATGGACGACTGAAAGGCAAGAAACTAGAAAGACACTTGACCAGAAAATTGGACCAACAGAATTTTTTTTTTTCTTTTTTAGCACCGTATGTTGCCCCAGGCTGGAGTGCAATGGTGCGATCTTGGCTCACTGCAACCTCCGCCTCCCGAGTTCATGCGATTCTCCTGTCTCAGCCTCCCAAGTAGTTGAGATTACAGGAGCCCGCCACTATGGCCGGCTACTTGTTGTGTTTTTAGTAGAGACGAGGGTTTCACTATGCTGGCCAGGCTGGTCGAACTCCTGACCTCAAGTGGTCCGCCCTCCTCGGCCTTCCAAAGTGCTGGGATTATAGGCATGAGCCATCGCGTCTGGCCCTAACTGGATGTTCTTAATTACCTTGTCTTTGCAAAAAGGACAAATGTATAATATATATTTTGGGAAATGCAGAAAAAGAGAAGAAAATTTAGCATCTGGAGATAAACATTTTTAACTTTTGACCTATATCCTTCCCAATATTTTTTATTCACTTGGATATAGGTTTATTTTGGGTTTTGATTTAACCTAACTGGGATCATCATGTGCATAATCTTTTGTAGACTTGAGTTTTCCTCCCACTTACTATTAAATAAGCATTGCTTGGTATCACTACATATTCTTTTTTTTTTTTTTAATCAAGACCTTACTGTGTTGCCCAGGCTGGAGTGCAGTGGCACCATCTCCAAGTCAAGGTCACTGCAGCCTTGACCTCCAGGGCTCAAGCAGTCCTCCCATCTCAGCCTCTTGGGTAGTTGGGACAGCAGGTGCAAGCCACCACGCCTGGCTAATTTTTGTGTTTTTTTGTAGAGATGGGGTTTCGCCATGTTGCCCCGGCTAGAATATTCTACATTATGCTTCTTAATGGGCCTATAGCATTTGTCCTCTGACTATATGTATCTTCATTTCAGCCATACACTAAATTGGGTTTGGGTTTTAAAATATTTGATATTTTAAAATTCATAAAATATTGGTAAATGGTAAATCTTTTCATGTAGATAAGTATATAGAATAATATAATTGTATATGCAGAATAATGGCCCCCAAAGACATCAATCTCCTAATCCTCAGAACTTGTAGTTACCTGGCAAGTGGAATGAAGGTTGCTAATTAGCTGACTCAGTCTAGAAAGATCCTCCTGGGTTATCTGTGTAGGCCCAGTGTGATCCCAAGTCTTCTTAAAAGTGAAAGAGGAAGACAGGAGAGAAAGAGATGTGGTAATGGAAGAAGGTCTGAGACATGCTATATTAATGGCTTGTAGATGGCAGAGGGCCATGAGCCAAGGAATGTGGGCAGCCTCTAGAAGCTGGAAAAGGCAAGGAAATGGAGTCTCTCCTGGATCCCCCAAAGAGGGGATCTCAACTTTAGCCCAGTAAGACCTGGCTCAGACTTCTATCCAGAACTGTAAGATAATAAATTTGTGTTGTTGTAAGCCATTACGCTTATGGTGATTGGTTACAGCAACAATAGAAAACTAATGCAATAATGAAGGCTCATGTACCCACCACCTAGCTCTGTCAAACCTTAATATTCAATACACCCTCCCAGCAACTTTTCTTTTTTCTATTTCTTTTTTTTTTAAGACAGAGTCTCACTCTGTCACCAGGCTGCAGTGCAGTGGCACAATCTCGGCTCACTGCAACCTCTGCCTCCTGGGTTCAAGCGATTCTCCTGCCTCAGCCTCCCAAGCAGCTGGGACTACAGGCACACGCCACCAGGCTCAGCTAATTTTTTGTATTTTTAGTAGACACGAGGTTTTACCATGTTGACCAGGATGGTCTCGATATCTTGACCTTGTGAGCCACCAACCTCTGCCTCCCAAAGTGCTGGGATTACAGGTGTGACACCATGCCCGGCCAACTTTTCATTATTAATGCTATAATAAACATTCTTTTTTTTTTTTTTTTTTTTTTGAGGCAGATTCTTGATCTGTCACCCAGGCCGGAATCAGTGGCAGGATCTTGGCTCACTGCAACTTCCTCCCACATTCAAGTGATTCTCTGGCCTCAGCCTCCAGAGTAGCTGAGACTACAGGCTCCTGCCACCACGCCCGACTAATTTTTGTTTTTTTTTGTTTGTTTGTTTTTTTGTTTTTTTGAGACAGAGTTTCACTCATGTTACCCAGGCTGGAGTGCAATGGTGCGATCTCGGCTCACCGCAACCTCCACCTCCTGGGTTCAGGCAATTCTCCTGCCTCAGCCTCCTGAGTAGCTGGGATTACAGGCACGCGCCACCATGCCCAGCTAATTTTTTGTATTTTTAGTAGAGACGGGGTTTCACCATGTTGACCAGGATGGTCTCGATCTCTTGACCTCGTGATCCACCCACCTCGGCCTCCCAAAGTGCTGGGATTACAGGCTTGAGCCACCGTGCCCGGCCTAATTTTTGTATTTTTAGTAGAGATGGGGGTTTCACCATATTAGCCAGGCTGGTCTCGAACTCCTGACCTCATGATCCACCCGCCTCGTGATTTACCCGCCTGGCCTCCCAAAGTGCTGGGATTATAGGCATGTGCCACCATGCCTGGCCCAAGTTAAAGTTTGTAACATAAACTGGCAAATTACCCTCCACAAAAGCGAAACCAATTTATATTTCAGATATAAATGTATGGGAATGTTCCTTTCTTTGCACCCTTGACAATACTGGGTATTGTGTTTTTTCCTATCTCAATCCAGAAGAACTATTGTTTTGAACTAGTATTTTGTCATATTTCATTGTTGTAATTAGTATTTTCCATATGCTTATTGGCCATTAGCATTTTTCTATAAGGATGGTCATCTATTCTTTATTATTTTATTTTATTTTTTAGTAAAGGAATAAAGAATGGCTGCTGCATAGGCAGAGCAGCCTATTCTTTATCCTTTTAAATTAAGGATATTAAATATTGATCATATATGTTACAAATATTTTTCCCAACCTTTATCACATTTTTAATTTTTATTGTCTTTTGTTTTCTTGTGTTTTTGAAACAGGGTGTTGCTCTACTGCCCAGGCTGGAGTGCAGGGATGCCATCATGGCTCACTGCAGCATCAAACACCCAGCCTCAAGCAATCCTCCTGCCTCTGCCTCTCAGATTGCTGGAATGACACTGTGACCCACTGTGCCCTGCCGAATTTTATTTCTTGATGATTTGTTTTAATCATGCAGAAGTTTTTAATGTTATGTATTCACATACACAAATACACATGTATTTCAAATCCATTGCTTTTTTCCTTTTTGCTATTGTGTTTAGAGAGGCCTTGGTCACCATACAATTAACTGAATATTTGCCCTTGCTTTCTTCTAGTTCCTTTGCTGTGATATTTATTCTTTAACTTTTTAATTAAGTTGGA